TAGGAGACAACAGGTACTAAAAGGTTGGAAGTGGCTTCTGTTCATCCTGTCATCTCAAAAAAAAATCTCAGTGTATTCCAGCTATTTCCATTGAAGCCAGATTGTCCCCTTACCTCATTTTCTATGATGATCTCATCTTAAACAAGAACATACCTGACATGAACCTTCATTTTCCTTCCAAGGGTTTTCCTTCTAATCAGAAGTAGTATTTCTTTTTCTTTCTTTCTGTTATTTCTGTGCCACTCCTCGGGCTTGAACTCAGGGCCTCAGCACTGTCCCTCAGCTTGTTTTGCTCAAGGCTGGTGCTATCGCTCCACTTCCAGCTTTCAGATGGTTAATTGGAGATAAGAGGCTAATAGACTTTCCTGCTTAGTTTGGCTTCAAACTGTGCCCCCCCAGATCTCAGCCTTCTGAATAGCTAGGATTTCAAATGTGAGCCACTTCTTCCACAAAATCCCAGGCCCCGCTCATCTACCTTTTCAAAACAATTCCTATCAAAATGACCTTTTTATCCTCAGTCTGAAACAGTATGTTTGGGCCTTAACACCTGCTTATCTGCAGTGGGCTGGATTTTTCAGGGGGTACAAATGCTCCTTTCTGTTCCACATTTCCACAGCTCCTACCTCTCTGACTTCACTCTGTCTTGTCAACATTGTTTCAAAGTCATTGGTGGCTCCTTTGTCACATCCATGCAGAACTACCGACATCAAAAAGTCAAAATAAAGCCAAAAAAACAAACTAAGTTCATCTTTCCTGTTCCAGTCTCTTCTTACCCCCAATTCCAGTCAGAATTCTTTACAGAATTCTTAGAAATGTAAACACTGCCTTTGTCAACTCTGTTCCTGAGTCTTTCCCTTTCTTCTTTGAAATCTGTTAAATTCACCATTTCCCTTCTTCCTGCCCAGGCCTAGGTTGATGGTTGCAAGCAGGATCACATTTGGGAATGGCCTGATTCTAATCTGGTCCAGGCCCAGCTTTCGGTCATACTCATTTCAACCACTCCCTTCCCTCTCCCCCATGCAAAAACAATTCTAGCCTTGACAGGAAATTTTGCTGACTGACTGCCCAGGCCTTTCGAAACCGTTGCCTTCCTGATTACCTTTGCCGGTCCCAGCTGTGTCCTGCACTGACTTGCTGGGTATGGAGACCTGCCTGGGGCCTGGCTGACTTCTGTGTCCTCTGGAGTTAACCTCTGGCCTGAGCATAGTATAGAGTGACCCATGGACACCATCCGAGCAGCCTTTTCCATCTACATGGGTTTAGGCAGGAAGCTTCCTAGAATAATGCACCAGTATTTTAATCTTTCTTTAAAAGAAGCTTCCCTGTGTGGACTAAGGTAATACTTTCAGTTTGCACTCAGTGTTCTAGCTCAGGACATTGAGTAGTTCCTTCATGATTTTTGTGTAGGTATGAATGTTTTTGTGTACGTACTGGGACTTGAATTCAGGACCTGGGCAATGTCCCTTTGGCCCCTTTTCTCAAGGTGACAGGTCTACCACTTGAACCACAGCTTCATTTCCAGCTTTGTGCTGGTTAACTGGAGGTAAGAGACTCATGAAGTTTCCTACCCAGGCTGTCAGGAAAAACCAAAGTCTATAAAAATCATCCAAAACTTACCCATAAAAAATATCCATTTTAAGAGGGCAAAAGATATCGACAGATGCTTCATCAAATGGAATGTAACAATGCCAAATAAACACATGAAAAGAGGCTAAGCATCATTAGTCATAAGGGAAGCAAATTAAAGTCATGATGACAGATGGCTACACACCTATGTAAATACAAAAAAAAAGCAACTTCTCAATAGGAAGAACTGGCAAAAATTCAGAGCAATGGGAAGTCCTCGATAATAACAGGAATGAAAAATGGTACAACCACTGTGGAAATCATCTTGGCAGTTTCTTATGGAATTCAATTTAGACTTACTATGGTCCAGAAATTCTCCCATACTCTAGAGAAATAACTTACAAGCATGTATGTGAACATTTTAAGAACTCTATAATTGCTAATAGAAATAACCTAAATATTTCCCCAAAAGGAATAAAGTCTACCCATTTAAAATTATTTTCTACCCATTTAAAATTATTTTTTTACTAGTATAAGCTGTCCAAAGGAGTTCCATTTTGACATGTCCATAAATGCATACAATGCACCTACATGACTCACCTCCTCCATCATTTTCCCTGGTCCCTCTTTGCTCTTCCCAAACCAATCTCAACAAGCTTGCTTAGCACACTTCTTAACAAGAAGGAATACATGTTCGATACATGCAACAACTTGTATGAATCTCAAAAGCATGTTTATAGAAGTCAGACTCATTGTGACATCCAACAAAATGAAAAACACAATAGAGAAAGGACACATCAGAGGTTGCCAGGGATTATGGGTAGAAAGAAACAAATAGAAAGGGACCATGGAATGGAGTTCTTTGGGGTCATGCAATTGATATGTATGTAGATAACGGAGAGGTTTCACTGTAGAAAAATGTAACATTTAAATACATTTAACAATTTAAACACAGCTGATGGTATAACTTACTGGGAAAGCCCTTGCCAGTATGTACAAGACATAAAGTTCAAAAGCCCTGCCCCCAACATTGCAATTTCAGGATAGCAAACAACAATACTGGTCATCCTTTTCCTACTAGTAAATAGTAGACTTGTCTTTGTAATTTCATTATGTCAAAGTTAAATTACATCGAGAATAGGTTTGTCAGGCTTAGCAAAAAAATAAAGATACTTAAATTTTCATTTTAAATACAAAGTTCCCTTCCCATCAGTTGTGATTTTTGCCTTAACTCTGCTGGTTTTTGTCAGTTTTTACTGATATGGCAAGCATGGTTTTCTTTATACTTATTGTTTGGAATTCACCAAGCTTAACGGATCTGCATTGATTGTTTTATTAAACTTGGGACAATGTTGGCTTTTATTTTTTCACATTTTCTCTGCTCTATTTACTTTCTCTTTTCTTTACGGGAATTCGGTTACATCTACAAAACTGCTTGTGAATGCCATACACTAAGACTCTGCCCAAAATTCTCTCAGGGTGAACATCTGCTCTGTGCTGCTATGCCCAACAATTTGGAGTTGTCTATGTTGTTTACATTTTGAGTTTCCATTTGTCATTGATATTTATACCTTATAATCATTTTCATGCCTGAACATAGTTCTAACGGTTGTTTTAAAAATCCTGCTGTACTAAATTTTCTTCTTTTTTTTTCCAAGACTGGGATTTGAACTCATGATCTGACACTCACTCAATGGCTGACACTACCACCTGTGCCACCCTTCCTTTACTAATGTTAATGTCTAAGTTATGTTGGGATCTTTATTGCCTATTTAAAAATAAAGCCAGGCTTTACAACATTTTACTGTCTCACCATTTTTTATATACTGTGAAGCACATTAAGCTTTGTTCTAGCTGGCAGTTAAATTATTGGCTAATCACCGTGATGGAGGGATGATTTTACATTGTGATTAAAGGATTTTCCCTTAGTTTTGATAGAAATATCTAGGCACAGGCCTACTTTTTACTAATAGATCATCCTTGGGTTTTGAGAAAAAAAAAGAAAAGCAAAACCCAAGTGCATATCAAGCCCTTGTCACTTGTTAGAATTCGAACTAGAAACCGTCTTCTCTGGAAATACAATGTGTTAGCTTCTGCAGCCTTCTCTAGTGGGGGCTTCCACCAGGTTCTTTGGGATCCCCCTAACATGTGTGTAGGTCAGGAGTCAGCCCAGGACTTCAGATACACAGACAGATGACAAGACTCCTCCTTTGGCACCTTTGTTTCTAAGGGCTCCCTAACAGTACCCTGTCTTCTACTCCCTCAAGCCAGAAGATGGCAACTTTCTGTAGTTCTGACCATCCCCATATATCAGCAAGTTCTGGGAGTGCCACAAGGGCAAAAGCCAGGTATTAGCACAGTTCTGTCTGCATCTGACCCCTAAGGGTCCTTAGTTGCTTCCAGAGTTTCTAACAGAAAGCTGGAACATTATAGGCTATTCCACTATTGCCCCAAATAGAAGCTCTTCAGCTTAGGCTTTTTGGGTGTGCAGTAATAATGTCTGAACTCTTCAGATTACTAAGCAGGCACTCTACCACTTGAGTACTGATCTAGCCCATTGATGCTTTCGTTGTTTTCAGATGAGAGTATTGGTAACTTTTTGCCTGGGCTGGTGTTAAACTTCTAATCTCTGCCTGAGTAGCATTTAAAAAGTCTTAAATGTTTAAACACTTTAAAAGAAAATAACACAGAAATGACTTTAACATATGAGGCTCTCTTCCTTTTAGGGCCCAATAGATGCATGAGATGTTCAAACATATTAAAACCTTTTATTCCAAATGAGATATCTAACATAATTTCTACTGATAATACTAAAAAGAGGGAAATATTTAATTCCTAATGAATTCAAGAGGTCAAATTGATTAGGCCATGAAAATACACAGAACTGAACTAACCTATAACAAAGATCTTTCTATTCTGAACAAACAAAGTACAGAACTTTATGGTTATGATATATAATAAATGAATCTTATTTTACACGGGGATGGGTGGGGTTGGGAGAGAATAATGGAAGCGGTGGTGACACTGATCAAGATGCATTGTATTCATAAACTGACATGTTGAACTGAAACCCCTTTGTATAACGTCTTAAGTGTCCACATTTTGTAATTGAAAAAAAATGGAAAGAAAAAAGAAAAGATTAGAGAACAAAACAAAATGCCTCTAGACTTCAGCAGAATGAATACAAGTCACATAACTGGGATATCAGCCCAGGGGGCGGTGGCGCAACTGAGCTTTGTGCTAAGTAGGGCTGCTGGGTGAAGATGGACGCTTTCCACTTCTTTTTAGAAGTCTTGGTGCCAGCTGTTGTTAGGATCACTCGACTTACAGTCAGGATGTAGACTTTTATAATGGAAGAAAATTATAAAAACTGTATGTGAACAGTTATTGGTCTTTTATTTGCTATACCTCCCACCCCCACTTTTTTTTTTTTAAACCACTGCAAACTAGGCTCAAAGGGCCACTTTAGTTAACTGGCTTCATAAGTAAAAACTGTTTTTTTTTTTACATGATTCTGCCTATGGATGTCTAACCACAATCTTGCCAGCTTGGTCTGCTCAACGTGCACGGATCCTGAAAGCTACAAGTGACGATCCCTGCTGTCGGAAACCAAACATTTCTGAGTCAAGTTATTATTATTCTTGTGTGTGTGTGCATGTGCATATGGGTGCTGACTTTTGGGCTGGAACTTAGGGCCTGGGTGTTGCCTCTGGGTTTACCTGCTCATGGCTAACACTCTACCACTAGAGCCACAGCTCCACTTCCAGCTTCTATATTAGGTAGTTAATTTGGACATGAACTATCTGGGCTGGCTTTGAACTGTGATCCTCAGATCTCAGCCTCCTGGATAGCTAGGATGACAGGCGTGAGCCACCAGTACCTGGCAATTTATTATTTTTTGTTACTTGTGCATATTAGATAAACCAAAAGTCTGCTTAATTTGTTATAGAGACAAATATATAACATCCATATCAAACATGACACAAGAGAAATGTCCGTCAATACTCAGGATTCTGAGCTGTTTTCTTGTATGGTGAACAGACTTAGCATCTCCATCTCCAGTGGATGCATGCTGCCGCCTGTGATAATCAGGGAGTGCAGGGGCTCCCCCAAGTCCACGGTGCACATCTGCTGTAAAGTGCCGGCTGCAATTTTCTGGTTCTCAGCTCCAACCCTGGCTAAGCCAACACAGAGTGTGTCCTCGGTGATTGCTATTGAGAGAGACAGAAAGAAAGAGAAAAGGAGGCAAGGAGGGATGGAGGGATGGAGGGGGAGAGCCAGAAAGAATGCCATTCAGTTCAGCAATGTACCATCTTGCACAATACTAAAAAGATATTAGTACACTGAATAAAACTTCAACACACACCAATACTAAGTCTGTAGTGAGTGGCTACATCTTCTTAGAACATAACTGTTTGAAATAACTCCTTATATTTGTACAGCATTTATAAAACAGATTCTGAATGAACATGACTGTGACACATAGTTTAAATAAGTTTTGAGACAAGTTCATATTGACAGATACTAGAAAAAAACCATAGACTTCTGAGTTTCTACTTCTCTACCTAATCAGCTATGAGACAAACTAGCTCTCTATTTCTTCCTCTTTCCTTCCCTCTCCATCTCCCTCCCTCCCTTTTCTCTCCCTCCCTTCCATTATGTCTGTCTTTCTCCTTTTACATTTTGCTGATTAATTGGCAGTAAGAATCTCTAGGAGTTGTCTGCCCCAGATGGTTTTGAATCTCATCCTCAGATCTCAGACTCCTGAGTGGCTAGGATTACAGGCATGAGTCATGGGTGTCCAGCCATTTTCTTATTTTTAAAACTGTAATACTACTATATGTAGTTGTTGTGAGGGTGAACACAATGGATATAAAAATATTTAGTAAACTATGGAGCCCTTAACAGACAACAATCATTGTGATATTACTTATGTTTTTAGGTTCAGAATAATTAATTTTAGAGGCCTCTGTAGGGTCATTCTCTCTGGTTCAAAAGCTGACTGGCTGACCTTGAGCTGGTTTTAGTGTTTAGGAGCAAGCTGTCCTGGATGAAGTGATCAAAATGGGGGTGACAACTTGACCAGGCACACAAGGAACTTGGTAAAAGTCAGGAATATAAGTTATCGTTGCAAATGTTTTCACAAATGCAGTCAGAGTTACTGAAGAGATTAGCGGTGAGAAGATGGAGACCAGAATGGTTTTCCCCAAAAGCGAAGAATCTGGGCTTTGTCTTTGTCTGGCCGCCACACTGAGAGGCCCAGGCCCTGACATACAAGCCCCATCACCACTCCCATCACCAGCCACTGTCTGGTTTCGGTTTCTGGTTTCGGATCAGCTGATCCACGGTGGTGATCTGGCCATGGTCTGCTACATCTCAGAACCTAGAATCTGTAGTCTGGGACCAGGACAGAACAGCTAGATGAGGGGTGGCAGGAAGAAGGACAGAGGGTCCTAGGGGTATATTGGTATCTGCCACAAGTGGACTGTGATAGTGGGCTCACACAAGCTGTGCAAAAGGGTCCTGCTCTGTGCTCCCCAAGAGGGACTGAGCTGCACCACTATGGTCACTCCATGTCCTCTCGTCGTCAGATACCAGAGTAGCAGCTCCTCAAGCAAGCAGGGCGCAGAGCAGCTTGGGAGGTCATCTGCAGCCTGCCCACTGCTATGTAGGCTCATTGCTATGACAGGTACATTTAAGAACATCTCAATAAAGATTGACAAAGCATATTATATACCGCAGTGTCTAATTATTGAGACTATAAGTACAAATTCTCTTGTCTTTACCCAGAAGAAGATGGTTTCTAGTCTCAAGTGTTGAGTAGAAACATGTTTTTGGCATGGCTCTTATTATTAATGGTGGCTGAACTGGAAGCTCCCACTTTATCAGAATACTTTACATTATCTCTTTACATAGAATCTGTCAATCAGTAATTGGTGAAAAACCCTTACTTTCTGGAATTGTGCTAATCTGACTTTAAAGCATTCCGCTCATTATCTGTCTCTCTACGCCCCTGCTGCCTGCAGGAGAGGGCAATAGGAGAAGAGCCTTTCTAGGGTGTTGGTACCTGGTTCTTCTCCTCGCATTCTCTGATTTTGAACAATTTCCAGAAGCTGCTGAGCCGCCTGGTTTACACTCATATACCGAGGAGGTTCATAAATCTTCCTTCCCCTGTAAATACAAAATCACATGCCAGGCTTCTCACCAGAATTGTAGAATGCACTACAATGCAAATGCAATTACACCCCTCTCCACCCAGAGACGCATGGGCAGCACACCTTCACTCTGCGGGCTTGCACAGGAGACCACTTCAAGTACACACCAAAGCAGTACAGAGTATGAAGCTTTTTCACACAGTTCTAACTGTCCTTGTGTGTCACAGAAATCCAGCAAATCAGACAGGTGTCTAAATCAGTTATCTTTATTCAAAGTGATGTCTTCAGTAAAGCAAAATTCAAACTAAGTTTCCACTTGGTCTACATCCCAGCTTAACCAGATTTATAAGTATTCTTCTAAGGAGTGACCCGAGGACCTAAAGCATGCTGGACACCTTTCTCCTAACCTGTTTATACTAAGCAGTTTCTGTGTAAGCAGTTTCTGTGAAAAGTAAACAAAGATTGAAAATCTTGGTTGGTGACATGTATTTATGCTTCCCTCCTAAGGTTTACCCAACGATGACAGTAATAAAATGTGAGCTTCAGTATCTACAAAATGGTTCAGTGATTATTTTACTGACTTCCACAATAGTTAAGTCAAGTATTATCCAACAGAAATATAATACAAGCCACAATACAATCTAAAATGTTTTGGTATCCATATTAGCCAAATTTTAAAAAGCAAATTCAGTATTAATAATACATTCTATTTAATCCAATATATTTTTAGATATTTTCATACTGATTCACATAAAAATTACTAAAGAGACTGTTTTATACTAAATTATTGAGATCTTATATGTATTTAAAATGTATCAATCTAGATGCTAAATTTTCATTGGAAATATTTGGGTTATGTTTCATAAAGGTTTGTGGTCATAAAAACATGTATATATTAAATTTATTCTAAATAACTTAAAAGTTGTTGGAGTATTTTAAATTTTTTCATCATTACACTAGCCACATTTCAAGTGCTCAATAGCCACGTGTGGGAAGTGGCTCCAGTACTGGATATGGCCTCTCTAAACAAATAAAAGGGATGACTGCCTTCACTATACATACGGAGAATTCAGTATCAGGCAGAAGTGAACTGGCCAAAATCACAGCTCTAGAGGCAGGCTTGGGACTCCAACGCTAGTTCTTTGATGTGAAAGCGCCCACTGCTGCTGTCAGGTTTGGAGCTATGGAATCCATACCTGTTTCCATTCTACAACACTGTGTCATTCTACAAGAAGAAAATGCTTAATGCTGAACTATGAATGAGAGCTCAGTTTTTTCAACAATCTTTGGAACTCATATCATTTAAGTATAGTTAAGGAATTTAAAAAGATCTATATATTCTCAGAATGAGAGCCTGGGATGTAGTTTAATGGCTGAGCACTTGCCCAGATGCACAAGGCCCCACATTTAATCCACAAGGAAATAAATAGGACTTACTTGATTAGATTTTCCAGAGACTGCTCCTTTACTTTGATGTCTGTAGGAAGTGCAAAATAATTTAATTAGGTACTTTATCCCAAATCCACAAACTACAATGAAGAGTCATCTAAGTTTTTAGAAAACATTCTTCCCAAGTGCCATGAAGCTCATCTGGGAATAGGTGCATCTGGGAATAGGTGCAGAGGAATAGAAGCCAGTGTAAAGGCCACTATCTAGAAAACAAGTCTGGGGCTGGCTCTGAGAACATTGTACAGGGAATCTAATTTCCTGTTGAAAAAGAAGATAAAGGAAAAACAGATAAATACCGGCTACCTAACAGCTAATAAAATTCTTTGTTTTCATTTCTACCAGCTGGTGATTATACAGGCTCAATGAGAAGTCTCGTACAGGGCCTATTCAGAAACAAACAAAATTCATATTCTATGTTGGCTTTCTTATGAATTGTAAGGTATGTCATAATTATGAATACTTTGACATCAAGTACTCATACCTTTTTTTTTTGCCAGTCCTGGAGCCTGAGCTCAGGGCCTGGGCACTGTCCCTGGGCCTCTTTGTGCTCAAGGTTAGCACTCTACCACTAAAGCCACAGCACCACTTCTGGCTTTTTTTGAGTAGTATATTGGAGATGAGTCTCACAGGGCCTTTTCTGCCTGGTCTGGCTTCAAACCTCAGATCTCAGCCTCCTGAGTAGCTGGGAGTACAGGTGTGAGCCACCAGCACCTGGCTGTACTCATACTTTTAACAGGGCTTGTGGGTGACATAAATTATATCAGGTAGTAGGCACTATAGGGACCTGCCTGGACAGAACCCTGGAACTCATGGGATCTGATGATCCACTCACTGCAAACATTTGATCCCTCATACTGTTAAATCACTGATGCTCTGCTGAACTATGTGGTAAAAGGTGAAAGAGCAGAACAGCTCTTCATCTTCACATGGAACTCTACACACAGCAGCAAGGACAGCAGCTGCTTCCTGTTTTACATGCTGAAACATGGTTCAGCCAAAGTTTGCTTCTGCAGAATTAATATGGTGCAACTGAGGAGCTGCTGATAAACATCTACAACTTTCTTAATAAAGGCTTTTTTTTTCTTATGAAGACTATTAAAGAATTTGCTTAAAACAATTGCAGAGATTAGTCAGTAGTTTCTGGTGTTTGTGGAACCAGAGTTATTTTTCAGTTTTGAAATATCTTTAATATTTTTGCTTGTCTGGCAAATATAGGAAAAAATGACTATCTATAATACAAGTATGACCTTCAATACAGTTAATGGCATAAGTCAAATTTTAGATTCCCTTTCTATTACACAATTTTTGAAAGTTCAACACCTTTATTTATTCATTTACCTTGAACTTCTAAAATGTTGTTACTTCTTAATTTATTTATAGAGTCCTGGTTTAGCTATGCAGTCCAAGCCAGCTTCAAATTTGTAATCCTCTTGCCTCCAATCTACTATGTGCTTGGGACTGCAGGAGTATAAAACCACACTCAACTTAAAATGTTATTCTAATTTACTGATTCTGTCAGTATTGGGATTTGAATTCAGGGCCTCCTTGCTTGGCTGTCACTCTACCATTGGAACCATACTTACAGCCCTGCTTTAAGCTAGCTATTTTGAAGATAGAGCAACACCAACTTTTCTGCGTAGGCTGGCTTTGAACCACGATCCTCTGGGATCTCAGCCTCCTGAATATCTAGGATAGAGCAACACCAACTTTTCTGTGTAGGCTGGCTTTGAACCACGATCCTCTGGGATCTCAGCCTCCTGAATATCTAGGAACACAGGTATGAGTCTGTAATATCATTTTAACCTTATTGTTCATAGAAAGATCTTTCATATTTTCATTTTATGAAAACTTTGCTTTTAATAATATGCTCTACAAGAGATTTGATTCTTAAAATGAAGAAAGCTGGGGAGAATTTTTACTGGCAAATGTACTTTAGTTGAACCTAAGACTTCATTATGAATGAAGCCTTAATCAAGTTTGACTACTTGTTCCTTGTCTTCCCATAAGTTATAATTTTTTCATTCCATGTTTGCTTGCTAGAATGTAAGCTTCTCCTACTTAGCTTAGCTCCAAGGTTTGGCATAATGTGAAAGTAGCCAGCAGAAATTCCATAAATATTTACTGAATAAATTTATCCATATGACTCTCCCACCACCAACTTACCAGTTCATTTTAAACTACCTTTAAGAAGCATCAATTTCAGTTCCCTCATAGTCTTTGTTGACTTCTCCTCTAGTGATCTTTGTTCTTGGTGTGTGCATGCCCGCACGCACGCGCGCACGCACACACACACACACACACACACACACACACACACACACACACACAATCCTGCTATCTATCTATCCATCTGTGGTTACAGCATGTATTCTGGTCTTACCTCTTCTAAATTCTCTCTAGTTTCTTATCATGTTTGTTTCTTACTATTCCTTACAGGGTTTGGCCCCTAACAAGCACTCAATAAACACACACTAATTTAAATGATGAAAATGTCAGATAATTAAATGACAGTATCTATAGTTGGAGATTTTGGGATCACAAGCTCCCATACTTCACATCTCTGTTCCTGCTTTGGTTATCAGAGCAGGAAAGATAATATTGCTTAGCTTTGTTTGTATTTCCCTAAGAAAGCCAAGAATTCAAGAGCTGAAGTTGTGGTTCATCATTCCTGTCTCTCCATACATAGAACTTAATTGTGCCTTTAACTTTCATGTGTGTAACACATGATTTAGTTCCAAGTTACATTTCAAAATTCCGATTGCAGGCTCAATGTCTAATAATCCTTAGCATACCCAATGAACTGAACTACACAGGGCAAGCAATTAATAAATTTCTATAAAACATCTTTCTACTGCTTCCTCAAAGCTTTCCAAATATTAATGTTCCTGCTATCCTCTCAGTGTTAATGGATACATGGGGAAGTTTCCAGGCATCCTATAGCTTAGACTTCCTTCTCTGTTCTATTTTTAAAATTTTCAGTGTTCTTGTAAAATATGCTTCCATTCTATTATCTGAACTCCACTGAATCCCCACTGCCATCCTTCAGTTAAATATAAAAAGTTTTTTTCCAAAGGAGTTTTTTCCCCATAACATTTTGAGCTTCAACCCATCATCACTGGCCTTAACTGGATCTAAGCTTGGACTAACAAATCTGTCACATCAATTAGTAAGTGCTTTACAGTGCTCTTGTTAGTAATGACAAAAAAAAAAAAAGTAAGACTTTCCACATGGAAAATCCAAGGGCCAATGATAACACTAACTTAATTTCTTTTTTCTTTTTTTTTGGGGGGGTCCGGTTGTGGGGCCTGAACTCTGGGCCTGGGCGCTGTCCCTCAGCTCTTCAGTTCAAGGGTAGAGCTTTACTACTCGAGCCACAGCGCCACTTCCAGCTTTTTTCATTTTGCTTATGGGGTGCTGAGGAATCGAACCCAGGGCCTCAGGCATGCAAGGCAAGTGCTCTACCACTGAGCCATCTTCCCAGCCCCCACTAACTTAATTTCTAATGAAGCACTTAATCCCTTTGGCAATAACATAACATACCAAACAAGTAAACTGTAGAATATAGACATAAGACAAAAAGGAAAATGTTAGAAGACTTTATAGCTTGAACCAGATGCAGAACCAATTGGGCGTCAATATAAATAGAATAAAAGAAAATGTATTCTGGCTAGATTGAATGACCTAACAAAGATTCAAGATTTTCTGTGCCAATAAACTGACAAAAAAAATGCACCAGATAAAAAGCTTAACAAACTAACTTCCACAAATATTTGTTCAGGAGGTATACTGTGCTAAACATCTAGGTGTTTAGAAGAGAGAAATGAACCAGAGAAGTCCCTGCTCTTTGGAAGTAAAGAAAAATAAACCAAGTTGATAAAGGGATTCCAACAGGTGGTGAGACTACACATAAATAACATAAAGGAGGAGTCACTGAGGGAGCACAGGGTACAGCAGATGAGATCACAGGAAATTCTACTCTACACTGGGAGCTGGCAAACTTGTAAAAAGGGCCAAATGACAAATATATTTATTAGGTTCTGAGCATCATAAAGTGTGTTACAAATGCTGGGTGCCGGTGGCTCATGCCTGTAATCCTAGCTACTTAGGAGGCTGAGATCTGAGGATTGCAGTTCAAAATCAGCCCAGGCAGGAAAGTCCGTGAAACTCTTATCTCCAAAAAACCACCAGAAAACTGGAAGTGGTGCTGTGGCTCAAGTGGTAGGGCGCTAGCCTTGAGCTGAAGAGCTGAGGGATAGCACCCCGGCCCAGAGTTCAAGCCCTATGACCAAAAAAAAAAAAAGTGTGTTACAAATTATTTCTGCCCTTGCAGCACTAGTTACCCTATATAGATAATACATAAATGAATGCAAAGGCCATGTGGTGATACTTTTTTTTTGTTTTTGTTTTTTTAATGTTTTTTTGTTTTTGTTTTTGAATTCAGGGACTGGGCACTGTCTCTGAGCTTTTTCGCTCAAGGCTAATACAGCACCACTTGAGCCCCAGCTCCACTTCAAGCTTTTTGATGGTTACTTGGAGATAAGAGTCTCATTGACCTTCCTGCCCAGTTTGGCTTCTAACAATCTTCAGATCTCAGCCTCCTGAAGAGCTAGGATTACAGGTGGGAGCCATTGGTAGTCAGCTGGGATACAACTTTCTTGACCAAACAAGTATCAGGCCAGAACTGATACCCTGGCACTAGTTTACTAAACCCTGCTCTGAACATTAATTTCTAGTTTCAGTACTATGTATGTAGTAGAACGGCAGTGTATGTAGAATGGCAGCCACTAGTAAAAGTAAGCTGTATTCTTCTCCACTAAGACATACTGATGGGATTGTACAAAATGATAGTATCTTTAAGTAACAGAGGAGTAGGTATATTATGTAAACTATTTATTTATTTATTTTTAGTACATAGAAACCTTTCCTAATGTTCTGAATATGTGCATTATTGTAGAGGCCAACATTATGGGTCCATCTCCTGCCCTGCTGATTGACTTCCCATACCGTATTACTGAAAGTCTAATTCAAGTATGTTTCCAAGATCAAGGCCAGTATGTGAGCTTTTTGTTACCAATAAATTATAAACTACATATGTGAGAATAAGAATTTACAAGCATTTGCTGGGTGTCATTGGCTCATGCTTGCAATTCTAGCTAATAGGAGGCTGAGATCTGATGATTACAGCTCAAATCCAGCTTTGGGCAGGAAAGTTCATGAGGCTCTTATCTCCAATTAACAGAAAATTAGAAGTGGCGCTGTGGCTCAAAGTGGTAAAGCACTAGCCTTGAGAGAAAAGCTCAAGGACGAATGTGTAAGCCCTGAGTTCAAGCCCCACAACCTACCAAAAAAATAAAAAATAAAAAGCTGAATGTGGAGCTGTAACTCAGTGATAGAGCACTAGAGCAAAAGAAGCTCAAGAAAAGTACCTACCCTTGAGTTAAAACCCTGGACTGGCAAAAAGAAAAAGAAAGGAGGGGGGGGGGAGGAAGTTTTTAAGAAATTAAAAATATTAAAAAAAAACCCAACAATTAATCCTGGTCCTTCAACCATACAGTTTGAGAAGAATTGCTCTATACAACCCCATGCAGCAGGAGTATATTCCTTTTTGAAGGAACAAATGTGTCTTTTTGAAGACAAAGGTTAAGAAATGTTCTACAATGTTCTCTCTCTAGTAAGCATGAACACTGGGATTTAATCTTTTGATTCCAACCTTAAGTATCATTTCAAAGTTACCAAAGATATCACTTGGCTGTGTCCTGTTCGCTAGTTATAGTTTAAAAGGTTAACACTAGCATTTCTTTTACAACATATGCTGTTAGAATATAGCCTACTAAACATGAAGCTTTCAGGGCCTCTGCTAAAGCAAAGCCCTGAGTGTGGGAAGAGCTAGCATTGCTCTTTCTACACTAAAGAAGAAATAAAATTTGGGCAGACAATCCAGGGAAAAGAGCAATGAATAATAGCTTTGCCACCAGTAGCTGGTCAGGAGTGGAGAAATGGGTTTTGACTTCATCTGTAACACAGACTGCAGTGAGAGGCTCTGCAGTCTCTTTCAGATGTACCAACCTGTGATTCTGACAGAACTGACTCTGCAGTATTCAGAGGCATTCCAAGAATATGAAGAAAAGTCTGGGGTGGTGGGAATAAGTGCCCAATGAAAGTCTCAGTTACAGGAGGTGGACAAGGGGCCATGGCAGACAATGTGTAGGATGCAGAATGTCAGAGAGGATCTCCAGGTTGGGAGGAGCAGCATGAATTATAGCAACACAGAACATCAAGTAGTGCTGGGAGCTGAGAGTGGGGGGAATGGGGCTGGCCCACGCCCTTCCTTACCTTTCACTAGCTGCCCTTAGAACAGTTTTTACTTAACACAAAATCAAAATCACTCTATGAAAATATCCAAATTCTCACCTAATAAGCATAATGTGTGCATGCCATTCTGTCTGTTTTTCTTCACTTTGTCAAAGAAGCTTTCTGGTCTCCAAGTGTCTGTCCAAAACACAATAGACACAGTCTCTCCAAACTTATACAGCTAGAAAAGACAAAAACATTCATCAATGATGAAGTAATTCATGACTAATTCATTGAGAAAGACAGAATAACCAAAATAAAAAGTGAGAACCAGACAAGATAAATCACAAATGAAATCTGTAGCAGAAGTTCTTATAGTAGCAGTGCTTTTCAGAAAACTTTTTTCAGTAGGAAGCTTCTAGTAGCTCAGGATAGCACCAGGTAACCAATTTATAAGTTACCTATATAGTGGCTAAAAATACTAAAATATAAAGAATCCAGAAATTAAAAAAGGCCTTCTATCACTTGAAGCAGATTTCATAAATTAGGATTTATTTTACAGATGAGATCACCGAGGCTCAGAAGAGTCAATTGACTTTGCTAAAGTCATCCAGCTAGTTAATAATGAAGGAGAAAACTCCAAATAGGTCCAAGAAAATGCTCCTGTCTGTTGTACTATCTCAGCAAAGCACCCAAGGCACATGATCATTCCAGCCACTGCTCAAAACCTACACCTTCTTTATATAGCAAGATTCTATTTGTTCTCAAAGTCCAATGATACGGTTCTACTAACCAACTTTCCTCCTTTGTGCTCAAGTAGCCTACCCACTCACCATTACTGACTGCAACCAAGAGGCTGGCTTCTCTGAATAAAGCTTACTGTAACAGTTCACTTACATGTATCCAGTTTTGGATGGTATGCTGAGAAAATCTAGTTTTCAGTTCTAGTTCTACAATTTGTTAATTGTGTGACATCACTCTAAATCTGTATGTCTAATAGAGGAATAGTGAGAAATGCTATCCATTCTACCCTTAGGGGTGTGAAGTCCGAACAGCATATTCAATGGCTAAGCGATTATGTTAATACTAGCTTTTATCCAGGAACTGGACAAAGGAGATATATTTTCAAAGACAATGTATGGCAAAACACACTACTAATGTATTATATAAAGATCTAATTCTTTCAGCAGTGTTTTAAACAATTTATAACATATCTGGAAAGCATTCTAGTTCTCTATCACAGATTAATTATGCACTGAATACTGTGTGACTTGAGGAAGTCATTTACCTTTCTAAAGCCTTTATTCTCATTTGAAAATATTGGTCTGATTCTGCTTCCAGTAGTCTAAGGCATCAGTTTCAGAGGTACTGTGAGAGGTAATGGGGAAGCAAGGAAGGAAACAAGAGAAGGTGGGACACTCAGGGGCATTCATCCCTGCTTCATCAGAGCAGCTCAACTTTCTCATATCTTATATTTCAAGGTCATAAAAACTTTGGGATGTGTGGCTCAAGTGGTAAAGTACTAGCTGTAAGCATGCCAAGCAAAAGCACAAGGCCTTGAGTTCAAGGCCAAGAACCAGAAGGCACAAGTGCATGTGCATACACACACATGCGCAAGCACACACATACGCACGCATACACACGCACGCGCACACACACACACACACACACACACACACACACACACACACACAGATGAGTATAGTAACAACAGCTCTAGCAGCACAGTTTGTAAGGGTTAAATAATAAAAGGGCATGTTATGTGCCCAGTAGTGCCCTTTACAGTTAAGAGCAATGATGATGCTTATTATGATGACATGAAAATGTTCTAAAATTCTGTGTCCTGACAGAATCTAACTGCTTCCCTTACTAGAATAAGGGCAAAAATTACCAAATACCTGAAGTTATGCTTATGAGTCAATTCTGATGAGCTCAACTAGATATATTCTAAGACTGGACTTCTTACTCTCTGGTCAAACGTTGAAAGATTAGTATTATTTCCTTGAAAATTTTTCATAGGAAAACCATTAAGGAACAACTTTAAATATCAATGAAATACAATTATATATAAATACTTTAAGTAGGTCTTAAATGCTTTAAGAGACACAGAAACATAGCTATGGAAGTAAATAAGTTCTCTATTCTAAAGAAAAGATGTCTCTTTAAAAGAGAGTTAAGATGCTAGTCACATAAAAACACTAACTGAAGTACTCTGTGTAAATGTATCTTTGAATTGTCTAATTCATGGGACTAAAGGAAACTCCACATAAGCACTGCCTCTAGGACCCTGATTTATAACTGGAAGCACCTTTGTGGCTGCAGGACAAACTTCTTCAATGAATCCTAGAACATTATGCAAAGAGTTTCACCATTCAGATGTCAGTACCTCAAAGACCAGAAGGACCCGTACTCTGTGTTTCACAATCAGAGCACTTACCAGCAAGCTATAAAAAAGAAACTAGAGCAAGCAACACAGGACAATAACTGAGGCTGCAGAAGTCCAAATACTGAGTTGTCTCCTAATGTGAGCCTTGATGAGGGGATTGATTGTTCCCAGCACTGTTCCCATTGCGGTTTCTAACAAACAAAACCTGCTGTTTTCTAAGAAAACAGTATAGAAAACACAGATTTTTAAAATTTTAACCTAGAGTAACTCAGAGACAGAGCAATGGACCTAATTCAGATTAAATTGTGCTTAATCTATTAGAGAAAATACAAAAACCACTTTAAAAAAAACCCAGCACAACGAAAATACTCAGTTCGAAACCATCCAGTCACTCATTATATGTAAGGTAGTCCTAGAGTGAGAAGATGCGATGAGAGACAAATAATCCTAGGTAGTAGAAGGTAATTATCAAATTTTAAGTGTCCGGCACCCCCAGTGCCTAGGCATTGTGTAGACATAGCGAATACTTCTGACTTGCTCTAAGCAGTGTCTCTAATTCCTGTCTTGATACCAACTGCCAGTTCCCATCCATTCAAGCTATACAGCTTGTACAGAGGTTGACCACTCATTTCCTTCCTTCTGCCTTGCTTAGCAGCCCTCAGCAGGACCTCACCAGATTCTTACCTCTTCTCTCTCCATTGTTTTTTAATTTTCACAAATGTAGATGCTTTGTAAAACCCTACTTATAATTAGTCATTAATGCATTTATTTTATATTAGTAATGAACCCATTTTCTGTGTCTACTAATTTAACATTAATATTAACAAATATTATAGACATGTAAAATTCGAAATTTTAACTTGCTAAAAGAAATGTGGCTCAACATGTATCTCATATTTTATGTAGCTTAAATTAGTTTAATCTGTGAAGAGTGAGGAAATGCAGTCAGCAGACCTGTCAAAACAGAGACACGTCTGTTTGGATCACATAATTGAGTATTTTCTTTTCTAGATAGGATACTATTGCTGCAGTTGTCTTATTGCTGATGTACTGCTTTTATCTCCATAACACTGATGTGATAATTAAGTTTTACTGAAACTAAAAAAAAGATTATGGGCATAGCCATACACAAGGTATATGGACCAACTTAAAGTTGACTATGACTGAATGCACAGAACAGATACAAAATGTATATGCCTACATATAAATGAGAAAACTCATTCATAAATCAAAATTTAAAATTCAAATAATTCCAAAAGCAATAGCTAATGTAGGGGATAAATAAGTAGTTAAGTTCAAATATGAATTGCACTGATCATGAGTTCAAGGCCTGGATTATGCTGTTTCAGAAAATCAAAATAAGTAACAATAGAAAGAGTAGTAAATAGAAAATGGAAAAAATTTAATAGGCCAATGATTTAGCATATAGTCAAAGAGTTACTGTAAACTAAAGGAAAATAAAAAGCTTGAATGAGTTCTACAGTTACAGAGCTCTGATATCCTTGATAACTAGTTTAGTGTATTGGACTAGATTTCCTCACTCCTACATTAGTCCACAAGACCAATTAAGGCTTTCAAAAACAGGAAGAACTACTACAAGGTCAACAAGGATTATTGGGAGTGTCAAAGCATTAAAAAAAAAAAAGGAAATGAGTTGTTACTTTTTGAAAGAAATATACATTTTCCAGAACAGATATGTATTATATAAACAAAAGAACATTTGGTAATACTCAAGGTCACTCAGGCAACGGCAAGAGAAAGTGGCAGCATTTCACAATGAGAAAATTATACAATCCTCTGCCTGAAAGTAGCTTCAACTGATGAAAGTTTTTACCCAGAAAACACTGCTACCTGTTTTCATAAAACTGACTCATTTATCTGTCCTCTGAAGTGTTTCAAAACCATTTTGGTCACTAAATTTTTGCCAAAGATTTTATATATTTTGTCACACAAATGACTGATGAAGATGATAGTTATAGGAGGCTTTATAGGTAATCTCATCAGCAGAGAATCTTCTGAGTATGCACAAGTCTGTGTTCAATCCTCAGAACTCCTCCACACGTACAAAAAAAAAAGGAAGAAAAAAGGAAAAGATTTAAAAACAGAAATGTTTCAGAATATGCAATGCCTTTCTATATTTGTTTTGCTAAAAGGCCATGTTAATTGTTCAAGAAGACTGAAAGAAAATATAGCATAACAAGTGTGGATGCCTCTAGACTGACAGACCATGGATTTTTTTTTCTTTATACTCATTGCATTTTCTTAATTTTCCATGAGTCAGCCACTTATTATCAAAAGTTATTTTTCAAACAATAAAGCAGAAGCAATATGAAATATAAGCATTTCCAATTCTGTATGACTAACTGGTAAATGCTTCTGCAGAAATGCTCATCTTCAAGCAGTCAAGAAGAGCTAGAGTGTGGTAGAGTATCTGCCTAGAATGTGTGAGTTTCAGATTTCCATCCCCAGCAATAAAAGAAAGGAGAAGGGGAGAGGAGAACAAGGAAGGGGAATGGAAAGGGGAAGAGAAAACCCAAGAAAAGAAGGACTTTACTCTTCTTGTTGTTGTGTACTAAAAAATCAACGAACTTGTCTAGCTTTAGATATTTTCTTTTCATTAGAAAAACCTGAAAATATCAAAGAATGATAGTTACTCAGGATTTCAAATCTCATGATTTTAAAAGTTACATGCTTAGAGCTAATGTACAGATTCAGCTTGACATAAATGCAGCCATCTTGATCAGAACCACCATGACTGTCCATGCTGGTTGATTTTTTTTTCCTGCACACTTTCCCAGCACATCATAAATAGACAAAACTATTAGGGGCTGGGCACCGGTTACTCATGCCTGTAATCCTAGCTACTCAGGAGGCTGAGATCTGAGGATCACGATTCAAACCCAGCCCGGGCAGAAAAACCCGTGAGACTCTTACCTCCAATAAACGACTAGAAAACCGCAAGTGGCGCTGTTGCTAAAGAAGTAGAGCACTCACCTTGAGCTGAAGAGCGCAGGGACAGCACCCAGCCCAGAGTTCAAACCCCACAACCAACAAAAAACAAACAAACAACAACAACAAAAAAATCTCTTAGAGGTTGTATGTGGAGCTCTATAGCTGCATCCTACTGTCAAGAATCTGTCTACATCTTTAAAATTAGCCAAACATAAACAAAATACATTCAACTTTAGTCCTGACCCCCTTTAATAAACCCAGACCTTGTGACTCACATTGTAGGAATTCACCCATTTTAAGGTTGCCCACAGTATGCTCTTGTCAGTAAGTGCCCCAATAAACACCACTATGTGCAATTCTGGATTGTCTACCTCTTTTCTTTGGTCTCATGGCACCTTGGAGAGTGTTCTAATATACTAAACATTTTGTTCTGGAACAACTAAAAGTTATTCAATAAAAATCCTAAAAGTTATTCAATAAAAAGTCTGAATGCTCAGTCTATTTTGGTCAAGGCAACTTTTGCCAAAAGTTGAGAAACAGATCAGCTTTCTTAGTTTCCAAATCTATAAGTAATGTCTTAATCTCTTATCTATCAAACTTCTTGTAATTCATTTTTAACCACTTAATTCTGTTATCCTTTAGGTAGCATAACATTTGCCTGTTTCAAGTGTATAATTCACTAAGTTTTAGAGAATTTAGAGCTGTGCCAGCCATCACCCTACCCAGCTTTCGAACACTTTCCTGATCCCACTAAAATCTCTTACGTCCATTTACAGTTAACCCCTGTAATGCCCACCAAGTAAGTTCTGCCTGTAAATCTGCTTTTTGGGAACATTTTCTATAAACAGTATTATACAATATGATCTGGCTTCTTTCACTTAACATATATGTACTAATTTCTCCCACAGCCCTCAAAGTTGCACCTCTCTGCCCCAAACAACAACAACAACAAAACAACGGCCTGGTTATTTTTGAAATTATAGGAAAGTTCTTTCACAGAGAAAAGTGGTGCCTACTTCCCTTTTGAAAAATTATGTAAGAGCACAAGACAAGCTGTTAGCATTCTATATATTGCAAGTGCATTACTGGAAACAAAAAGAGAATTAACATAGTTCCTTCTAAGATTCCTTTCTAGGGTTTTTCACTTGTGAGTTGGTGGTTCTCAAAGCATGGAACTTGTACTAACACAGCTTCAGAAGCACCTAGACACTTGTTAGAAATATAAATCCTCAGACCCCATCCCAGATCTACTGTGAGAGTCTGAGGATAAGACATAGTATTTAATCTTACAAACCCTCTAGATGATTCTGATCAACACTAAAATCTGAGAAACACTCATTCAAGTTTATTTTTTCCAAATAAATACAGAGTAAAGGAATATTAAAGGAAAAAAATCTTTTCTAAAATTTCTAGCTACTCAGGAAGCTGATATCTGAGGAACTCAATTTGATGCCAGCCTGAGTAGACAAATCCAAGAGAATCTTACCTCCAATTAACTAGCAAAGAGCCAGATGTAGAGATATGCTGAATAAAGAGAACACTTTGAGTGAAAAAACAAGCAAGAGCAAGAGCGTAAGACCCTGAGTTCAACCCCCAGTACAAAAGAAGAAGGAGAAGGAGTAGGAGAAGGAAGAAGAAGGGAGAAGAGAGAAGGGAGAAGGAAGGAGAAGGGAGAAGGGGAAGAGAGAAGGAAGAAGAGGAAGAGGAGAAGGGAAGGAGGGAAGGAAGGAGAGAAGGAAGGAAGAAAAGAAGGAAAGGAAGGAAGGAAGGAAGGAATAAAGTCATCATTATGCCCTTGATGACCAAAAGTAAAATAGTAAAAAAATATAGTCCTCTGCAATGCTGAATAAGTCATTTGTAAGAATACAGAAAGAATATAAAAAATACAGTCGAATTTGTTGATTATGTATATTTTCCATTTTTCCGCAGATAAAATTAAAATATTCCAATAGCTAAATCTAAGTGCTTACTCCAAGAAACAGAATAAAAAAGTTTTGGAGAAACTTGCTATAAAGAAAAGCAGTATATACTAAATAGTGTACTATCAAATGATGTTTTATAATTCATGAAATACAATAAAATCTCCTTATAACTTATAAAAAAAGAAAATTACACATGAAAATGCTCTCTTTGCAGCATTACCTGTAAACCACAGCAACCTACAGCATTCATGATGGAAGCATTGTGAATCACTCGATAAGGGATTCCCAACTTCGTTGCTCTCAGAATAAGATCACTGTGTGTTGTAGCTCTGCAGTGAGAAATCAAATACACAACACTAAAATTTTAAAAGATTTTATGCATTTAAGTCAAGAGTTGCTTTTCCTCAAATTCTGCTTACGGTTTTTAATCTCTGTCCTATCCATGTCCTTTACAATGTGGAATTGGAACTCCAGTACTGGTAGCTACTGAAGGGCAAATTTGTTTGCTTGTTGTCCTGTGGACATCTACAAAAGACATCTGTGAAATATAAACTAAATCATTTCCTTCTTGAGTTATAACTCATTGGTCTCAGGGCCTTTTAAAATTCATTAAAAAAATTTAGCTGTACACATTTATAGACTACAATAAGATACTCCAGGATATGTATACAATGTGTGATCAGATTAACTTAATCGGCCTCACCTTAGACATTTGTCATTTCTTTATGTGGAGACACTGAAAATCCTCTTGACTTGCTATTTGGAAGTATCAATTAATTGTTGTAAACCATAATTATCCTATTGTGCTATAAAACATTAGATGTAATTCCCTACCCATTAATCCTCCTTTTTTGTCCCCTTCCCCCATGTACTTCCTGGGCTCTGACAATCATTAGTGTAAACTCTACTTCTTGGAGAACAACTTTAGCTTCCACATATAAGTGAGATCCTTTAGTTCTTCAAGTTGTAAATTATGGCAAAAATACACCCAATTCTTTATTTTTCTATTCAATTTTGAAAGTTTTGTTTCTGTATTCTGAAAAATGAGGCAGAACACACAGAATGTTAGCTTTTAGTCTTTCTGTTAGAATTCTGTCTAATAGAATCTTGCTTGGAGTTTATATCTATCTAGTAGTCATTCTATAACTGTTTACAGTCTTGATGCTGTGTAAAATTTGTGTATGTATAATTTGTGTATATGTGTGTGTGTTTGTGTGTCTGTGTGTATGAATGCATGTTCTGCCTGTTGCCTTTTTTTTGAGGTAAGTCTCATGACTATAATTGGGTAGGCTTGGTTAGATTCTGTCTCTACAGAATATATGAAAATATATTGAACACTGTAAAAACTAACCCCACATCAATTTAGAACTGCATTACCAAAGGCTTTTTCCCCCTCTTGATAAAAATGCCAAGCCCTACTGGGGCAAGTGACATTAGCATGTTTGAGAAACTGCTTACAAACAAGCAGAACCTGTCAACTGGTCAATGCATACCAAGTAGGAAGATCAAGGGCTAACCCCATGAGGTAGCCAGATACAGATTAGCCAGTATCCACCAGGGAAGCCTGTTTTTAATCACATAGATAAAATAAAAATGAGTATGAAAAATAACTAGTCATTTGATTTAGAGTTTTTTTTTTAAAGCATGAATGCCATTTGGAAAGAATAATTTTAGTATCACTTTCAACAGGATCACACTACTTATTATTAGGAACAAGAAAAGTGAGCCTTTTGCTGTTATTTACTATTCTTTTTTCAAGTTAAGTAGTCTTATTGTTATTAAATACAGTAGATAAAAAACTTATCTATCAAAAATTCATTTAAATGATCAGATTCATATATAAACATACATGTACATACACATACAAGTTTAATATTTTTGGTTATGTGGATTGAGTCACAGGCTGACAAATACTCAAGAATATTTTCTTAATAATATACTTGGTATTTTCTGTTTGTTTTCTTAATTTTTTCCCATCATTTTATTCTTTTTTTTTATTTAAGTTTTATTCTATTTTAAAGACTTAAGGAATGGAATCAATAAAATAAAGTACATAAAAGTGACTAGCTTAAATGTACAAGACTTGATATGACTTCTAAATTTTCTTTTATCAGATCAGTTGATATATTGGACGTAGTTGTGGTTGGTGGCCTGGAAATAAACTAACATTTCCAGTAACGATGAAAATTACATTCTCATGAGCAACTACAAAGAATATAAATTAGAAATACTGCTTTGAAAAATAATCTGACAGTTACTTTTATATATTAGAAATGTCTTTGTCAACAATATTTGATTATTTGATCTTGAAAACTTATTAGAAACAATCTAAAATGTGGAGAAGTAAAGAGGGGGAAGGAATCATACACATTAATTTATAAAACCATGACTTTATCCTGGAGGAAAAAAAATGGACTAATGATAATGCTGACATTCACTGAACAGTTAACAGTTCAAGTGTAGTTCATTAAATGTGAACAGACAAATGGCCTATATTAGGGCACATTGGTGACAAGTGGTGTGTGCATACACTATTAAGGCAAAGGCATACAACTGAAGAATAAAAATTGCATGTTCAATTACAAAAAATTACATATTTAATCTACACTATGTATTTATCATATTGTATTATCTATTATAGAACCACACATTATTTTATATACACATATTGATATATGTGCTGATGTACCACACATTTGCACACATGTACAGACACACAATTACAGAATACACTAAGATCCAATATAGAACAACAAAACCATGATTAGAAAGAATTTTCCTAATGAAAACCCATTCAAGGCCTTATTAGATAGTGTGGCTCCTTCCTATGTCTACCATCTTCTCCTTTCCTTTTCTTTCAGTCACTGTACAGCAGCCCACCCAAACCTTTCAGCCTTCTTGTTTCCCCAGTCCTATCTTCCTGTCTTTCCCTTTTCCTCTTTTCAGTCTTCTGACACTTTCTTAACAATCACCTCTACAGAAAAGCTTTTCTATATGACCCTGCATAGATGAGTCTCTTTTTACTATGTCTTTTCCCCCTTTTAACATTTTAGTTCTTTTTCTTTGATTACTGTTGGCTTTCCCTACTAATGGCAAACCCATGTGTTCAGGAAATTTTGACACAAATATGTGTATATTTGTGGATAAATGGATAAATGTCAGTCGAAGATAATGCATCACCCTTTTTTTTCTTTGTTGACTTTAAGAAATACCCCAAATCTTCAAGAAATACTTAATTCATACCAAGTACATACTAGGGAGACAAAAATGTGAAAGGTAGACTACCAATGCAGATGTACAATGTTATTTATGACATGTTGTAAAACTAGTAAAACTAGTATTGTTATGAGTTAGATATAAGAACTCTTGTGTTGGGTGCATGGTCACCAGTGGTGGGCTGAGGAGATTTTGGAAACTTTAGGTGAGACCTAGCTGGAAGAAGCAGGCTACAGAGGGCAGGTCTTCACAGTGTATTGTCCCTGGTTCTTTCCTATCTGTCTCTATCTTTCTCTGCTTCCTGTCTGCCATAGTAAAGAAGCTCCTCACCTCCCATCTTACTACCATGATGTTCTGCATAAGCAGCGGGAACCAAGCAACAATTGGTTGAACTTTCTGAAATCACGAGCAAGGTAAGTACTTTCTACCGTTAGTGTTTTCTCAGGTATTTTGTTCACATATGCAAAAGTAACCAAAGCATAAAGTATGGCGCAACATGCCTGTAATCCCAATTCTGGGGAGGCTGTGACAGGAGAATCACAGATTCAAGGCTAGCCTGGGCTACATACGAGGTTCTGGGCCAGTATGAACTACATGGTAAGACTCATCTTAAAGTATAAAAGATATATGTTGACATAATAAAGCACAAAAGCAAGAAAAGCTGTTTTGAAAGATGAGTACTCTGGCAGAGGCAAGTGATGGAGTAGTAGAGATGGAGGAGGTAGCTTGAACTAAGGTGTGAAGGTGAGAAGGATCATGACATTGGTAAGCATGAGTATGGGCTTTAATACAAAAGTGGCAGAATACAGACAGATTAGTATTTTCAATATCTGCTAACGATAGAGCTGATAAAGATCTCATCTGTGAGCCCAGGTAAGGTTTCCAAACTGTGGCTTTACAAATAGGAATCTGACCACACTATGGGTAATGACTTAAGAATTTGTGAATGGACCACCAAAGGTGTACAGTATATGAAGTTGGATTAGGCAGAAGGGGCAGCTGCATTGAAAAGGAATGAAATGACATGAAAAACTGGATAAAGCAAAAGCCAATAGCAGGGTTTCTCAGACTAAAATGAAAGGCTCATTTTTAAGGTTCTACATTGTCAAGGATTAATTGTTCATTTGTTTATTTTGCCAGTTTGGATTTTGAACTCAGGGCCTGGGCACTGTCCCTGAGCTTCTTTTTTTTTGTTCAAGGCACTTTTTTGATCTACCACCTGAGCCACAGTGCCACTTGTACACTTTTCTGTTTATGTGGTACTGAGGAATTGAACCCAGGGCTTCATGCATACTTGACCACTAAGTCACATTCCCAGCCCCGAATAATAGTTTTATAAAATGTAATAAAAATAAGTTACTCAAGCCAAGAGTCAATGGCTAATACTTATAATCCTGGCTACCCAGGAGGCTTAGATCTGAAGATCCTGGTTCAAAGCTAGCCTCAGCAGAAAACAGTCCATGAGACGCTTATCTCCCATTAACCAAAAATAGATGAAAGAGGAGGTATGGCCCAGGTGGTAGAGCACCAGTATTAAAACCAAGAGAGAGCTTGAGACTTCGAGTTCAAGCCCCATAACTATTCAGACTTCAAGTTCAAGCCCCATAAATAACTATTCAGAAAGCAAAACATAAAACAAAGTAATACAAAATAAAAGCCCCGTGTGTGTGTGTGTGTGTGTGTCTGTGTCTGTGTGTGTGTTAGGCTTGAACTCAGCGCCTGAGAGATGACCCTGAACTTTTTTGCTCAAGACTAACACTCTACCACTTGGGTCACAGCTCCAGTCTGGCTTTTTGGTGGAGATGGGAGTGTCATGGACTTTCCTGCCTAGGCTGACTTTGAACTACAAACTATGATCCATAAATCTCAGCCTCCTGAGTAGCTAGGATTACAGGTGTGAGTGATTGGTGCTTGGCTAAGCCCCACATTTTTAATATTAGATTCAGTAGATATAAAATTTACTTCCTAAAACAGTTACAAAGGCTTCTAAAATGCTTACTCTCAATTTCTATATGTATCCCATTGAGCACTAGAAAGTCTGTGTGCTGGCACCAGTGTGTAAATATCACTCTGAGTAGCATCTGTACTGTGAAACTGACACTGGGAGTGACTGGTATGCAGGAAAGTAAAAAGCAACTCTCGACTGCTTGGCCAAGCTGGGATGTGTGGTGGGGAAGAGTCCCCCATGGAAAACACAGGTATTATGCAGAAGTCGAGGGTGATAATGAGAAACTTCTGTAAGAGTTAGAATATACTTAAAGCTAGGATTTTTAAAATTTATTTTACTATCCTATTGCTAAAAAAAAAAGATAGGTACTACTAATTTTCAGAAAGTTAAATTTACATAAAACAAGGTCAGAGGCTACTAAATATTTCTAAATGTGTAATTATCCACAGTTATTTGTAATCAAACATAATTATGATACAGAATCTTTGGCTATTCATCATATAAATTATTTTCTTTTTGACAGACACATGCATGCACATGTAACTCCATTGTTTTTAGAAACATTCTTGATGGTGGGCTCAGAGTGATTTAATTGTCCTTATGTTCCTTAAAGCTGCAACATAAATCCTGAGTGACCAGCTGTGGACAAAGAACTCTGCCGTTTGGCTTGACATTAGAGATTGATGACGTTTGACTAGACAAGTAGAAGCCCATCTTCTTGGTAATGAGAAAGAACAGAGCTCCCAATGGATATAAGGAATTGAAATCAAGGGCTTGATAAATGATAAATTCAAGGCAAGTAAAGTGACAGCAGTGTTGTCAAATATTAGATGACTAAAAAGAAAAGCCTAAAGGAAGATGAACATGTTTGCAATTATCTGCAGCAAATAGCAGGCATGACTTTTGATAATGGGATAGTTTATTTAATAATGATACACTTAGTTAAAGCATTTTGTTTCCAACATGATCTAAAACAGAATCAAAGAAATGAACTTTAGAGTTGATTCTTCATAATACAGTAGCACATCTTTACCAAGCAGATTTTCTTCATTAATCTCAAAGGCAATGGAAATTTATACTGTGCCACTTTATTTATTTCCTTTAGCATTTCTGATATGATGTAGCTGTGCAGCCTAGCTTGCAACTATGATGACCCTGAATCTGTGATCCTCTAGCCTCAACCTCCCAAGTGCTGGGATTACAGGTGTGTGTTACCACACCTAACATTAACTATGAAATTTAAATAGGGCTTATGTAATTAGGACCTGGCAAGGAAATTTTAAATGAAATAGAATGGTTATTGCAGATTAATAAAAATATATAAAATTTAAATAATGGAGACAGGAAAGGTGGGTACTCAATAAATATTCAATGCACATATGTGAAAAGGAACCATGTAACTTGAGGCTAGGAAAGATGAAGAAGAATGATGGAGGGGTATCATTGATAAAGATGTACTATACTTACAAATTGATATTTTTAAATGATTAAGTAAATTCATAAAATATGTATATATACACACATATAGAATTCAAAGTATAATCCCTTTGTATATCACCTTTATAATAGCAATAAACTAAATTAATTTTTAAAAAATTCAAAATGTCTGCTCTGACTTACCCAAACGGATCTCCAACTACAAGGAACGCAATATCACTGATATCAGCATCCTTTAAAATATTATCTGCTTCTTGTTCCACTTCTTCTCTATCAGCAAGAATTAATTTTCTTCCATAAAACTCTTCCTACAGATTTAAGTTCAATAGCAAAATAAGAGACAGCAGGTAACTATGCACATACACACACAGGCACACACCCCAAAACAATCTTTGTCTAGAGCTGTGCAAAACTTGGCAACTATCCAAATACAGATCGTTTAATACAACTCATCAGTGAGCCAGCACTCTATATCATGCTGCAATTAAACTCTGTCTTTGGGGCTATCATAATATCCCAAGAGGAGGCCGACCTCTTAACATCTGAGGCCTCTAAATTTGGCTCTAATAGACCAGGCAGAACATTAGCGAATGAACAGAGAATATGTATGCATGAGTCCCAATTTAGAAACATGATAATACAGAATATATTAAACACTAATGATAAACATGCAGGGTGGTTCAGATTTTATTGAATTTTCTCTGATAAAAATCTATGGCACCCTGGCTAAAACAAAAGCCAACATCAAGAAGACAAAACCAGCAAACATTCTTTTGTAATTTTAAAAGACAAATTTAAAATTGTATTCCCTATGCTGCTAAGAAGGAAAACCTTTAGGAAAAAGAACTGGATTCTAAACATACAAGGACTTTTGTAACAAACTACTTTGTGAATTAATCTTTTGAAGTTCAAGTGTAGAGAACACATTCTGTAGAATAAGCCAATGAACCAGTGTTTATGTGGTACTGGTAAAAAAAACCCTGGGCCAAAAAAAAAAACCTAAAAACGAATTAACTATGGGATAATATGCACCTCTAATTAAGTAAAAGATGCATAGATAAATAATACCATGTTTTACATATTGAGAAGCTGAGTTACAAAAAGTTATGAGGGTTGCTGTAACTGAGGAGCATCTGGCACACAATAATATTTGTCAAACAAATGAGCTAATGAACAAATGATTAAACATCCCAAGATCAATGCTACAGGTGAAATTCTAATAATTATTTCCTAACACTTAACGCCTTCAACGTGAAAAGGTTTCCATTGAGGCGTAACCTTCCATAACTGCCCAATGTCAGTATTTTTATAGACAAAAAAATGCTCTCATTATTTCCACTTTGCCATATATTTTTATCCCTTATCATTAATTTTCTTATTTTACTTTGATTTTGTGAATCAGAAAACTGAATAATTAAAAGAATTATGTTTGTAAATCTAAGAAGACATCATACATGATTACAGAAAACTGAAAAAAAAAAAGTTCTTTACTGAACTAACATGTCCTTAAAAAAAAGATCAAGAAGCCACACACTAGCATGTGGCTCTATTCCACATTGGAAAAATAATCTTTTTTTTTTTTTGTAGGCCGTGGGGCTTGAACTCTGGGCCTGGGCGCTGTCCCTCAGCTCTTCAGCTCAAGGCGAGCACTCTACCACTTGAGCTACTGCGCCACTTCCAGTTTTCTGGTGGTTTATTGGAGATAGGAGTCTCAGTCTCTCCTGCCCGGGCTGGCTTTGAACCGCGATCCTCATATCTCAGCCTCCTGAGTAGCTAGGATTACAGGTGTGAGCCACCAGTGCCCGGCTGGAAAAATAATCTTAAAAACTTTTAAATCTACTTCTTGAAACTTTTATTTTTATATCACTCCAAATAATTTATCCAAAACAGACTTCAAGTTAAAATTAGCCAGAAAGGATAAAGAAAGTGGCTGCATATTATTAAAGGTAATGAGCCATCAAGAAGATATAACTATGTAACTATGTGTGTGTGTGTGTATATATATAGATATATACATATATATATATGTGTGTGTGTGTGTGCACTAAACACTGGTGCATCCAATTTCATAAGACATTGCTGGTCAATAAATAAAGGGACACATGAGTCCATACATAATAATTCTGGGTGGTTTCAATAGATCATTCTCATCAATATCCAGACCAAAAAATAAAGTCAACAAAAGAACTTCAGAACTTCATTTGTTCTTAACCACAGAACGAATGACAAACATCTACAGATTATAACATATAATAGCGGTAGAACATACATTTTTCTCATCAGCCTTTGGAACTGTCTCCAAATTACAACACATTTAAGGACAAAAATACCAAAAACCTGAAATAATTTCTTGTATCTTACCAGAATATAATGTAGAAAACAACAAATACCAATAGCTAAGAGACACAACAGAATCAATACAAGGACATGAAAATTAAAAATATGCTTTTCAATAGTAAACAGGACATTAAACAAATCAGGAGAGAATTAAAAAAGTTCTTGAATTAAATGAAAATGAAAATATATCTTAATAGAACCTTTGATATATAAGAAAGGCAGTTTTTGTTTGTTTGTTTGTTTGTTTGCCAGTCCTGCGGCTTGAACTCAAGGCTTCCACTCTGTCCCTGTGCTCAAGGCTAGTGCTCTAGCACCTGAGACCCAACACCAATTCCAGCTTTTTCTGAGTAGTTTATTAGACATAAGAATCTTACAAAGTTTGTTGCCCAAGTTGTCTTCTAACCATGATCCTCATATCTCAGCCTCCTGAGTAGCTAGGCTTACAGGCATGAGCCATTGGCACCTGGATTGAAAGGCAGTTCTAAGTGGTATCTTATAGCTATCAGTGACTATGTTAAAAAGTATGACAGATTTCAGTTAACTACCTCATGATGTAACTCAAGGTCTGAGAAAATCAAGATAAACCAAATCTCAAATTAGTAGCAGACAGAAATTATAATTATGGTACAAATCAATGAAATGGAGAATACAAAAGTTTAATTGAACAAAGAGTTGGTTCTTTGGAAAAATAAACAAGATTGACAAACTCTTACACAAACTAACCAAATGAGAGAAGACTTAAATTAATAACATTAAAAACAAAAAGGTATATTAAAGCAGATACGTCTAAAATCTAGACGATCTGTAGAGGATATTTTTAAAATGTATTTTTCTAACAAATTGGAAGATATAGAAGAAATAAATGGCCTACCAAAATTGAATCAAGATGATATAAGCAAACTAGATAGATCTATAAGGAGCAATGATAATGAAGCAGAATAACAAATTTCCCAACAAAGAAAAGCCCAGAATTACATGGATTCACTGCTAAACTCTACCTGAGCATTAAAGACCAATGCTCTTCAAACATAAAACAGCAAGAGAAAAATGCTTCAAAACTATCCATACAAAGGTAGCATTACTCAAATACCAATACCAGAAAAGGGGATACACACACACACACACACACAAATACACATACACACACAAATACACATATACAAAAACACACACTAAACCAATTTTTCAGATAAAAATAGATGCAAAAATTGTGAACAATTACTTTGTAGTCAAATTCAACATCCCACTAAAAAGATCATATACCATGATAATGTTGGTTACATTCCAGGGATGTGAGGATGGTTCAACCTATGCAAGCCAATAAACATAACAGAACACACAAATATAATGAAGAGCAAAAAATTAGATGATCATCTTATAGACATAAGAAGGCTTTGACAAAATTCAACATTATTTCTTGATAAAAGTCCTGAAGAAACTAGGAATACAAGGATTATACCTCAAAATGTAATGGTTTTATATGACAAACTGTCAATATTATACCATATGGGGAAAAAAAACTAAAAAGCATTTCTGTAAAATCCAGCATGAGACAAGGATGTTACTCTCACCACTCTTATTTAACATAGTGTCTGAATTATTAGCCAGAGCAACAAGAGAAAAAAATAAAGTACTAAAAGATTTATAACACTCATTTTCTGCAAAGTAGCAGAGAGAGAAATCAAGAAAACAGTCTCAAAATAAATACCTAAGGATAAACTTTACTAAGGAGGTGAAAGACCTCTATAATTAAAACTACCGAGCACTGAAGAATGTACAGTTTCAATGTAATTCCCATCCAAATCCCAATAATATTGTCCATAGAACTAGAAAAATTAATCCTAAAATCCACATGGAAACACAAAAGACCTCAAATAGCCAAAGAAATCCTGAACAAAAAGAGTAATGCTGGAGATTATCACAATACCTGATTTCAAATTATACTACAAAGCCACAGTTACCAAACAGAATCATGCCAGGTGTTGGTAGCTCATGCTTGTAATCCTAGTTAAGCAGGAGGCTGAGATCTGAGGATAGAAGTTAGAAGCCAGTCTACACAGGAAAGTCCATGAGACTCTTATCTCTAATTGACTACCCCTCAAAAGCTGGAAATGGAACTGTGGCTCAAGTGGTAAGAGTGTTAGCCTTGAGCATAAAAGCTCTGGGACAGTGCCTTGGGTGTGAATTTGAGCTCTAGGACTGACACAAAAACAAAATAACAACAAAAAACCCAGTACCATGCTGGCACAAAAACAGACATATAAACCAATGGAATAGAGTAGATAGATCAGAAAACAAGAAAATAAAAAAATCCTACATAGCTCTAGCCATTTGATTTTCAACAAAGATGACAAGAATCCATGGAGGGGGAAAGGAAGAGGGTAAGATATCAACTTGAACAAATGGTTCTGGGAAAAGCATATAGAAGACACACTAGATCCCTCTCTCACCCAGTATAAAATCAACTCAAAATAGCTATAAGACTTTAAGATCCTCAGAAAACTACTAGAGGAAAATATAAGGAAGGGACTTCAAGATATAAGCATAGGCAATGACATTATGAATAAGACTCCAATAGCTCAGGAAAACAATAGCAAGAATTAACAAATATAATTGAATGAAACTAAAAAGCTTCTGAACACAAAGGAAACAACTACCAAAATGAACAGAAAGACTCTTTGCCAACTATTCATCTGACAGGGGATCAACATAAAAGGCATATTTTTTAAAAACATAGCCAGTCACTGGTGGCTCATGCCTGTAATCCTAGCTACTGAGAGGATCACAGTTTGAAGCCAGCCACGGCAAGAGAGTCTGCAAGACTCTTATCTCCAATTAACTACCAAAAAGCTGGAAGTGGAGCTGTACCTCAAATCTTGAGCAAAAAAATTCAGAGACAGAGCCTAGGCTGTGAGTTTAAGCCTAAGGGTGCGTGCGCACACACGCACATACAAGCATGCGCACATATGTATATATATATATATTTTTTTTAACTCAAAAAGTTAGACATCAAAAGAACAAATTATCCAATCAGTGAATGGGCAAATGCACTAAATAGTTTTCAAGAAGAACAAAAAAAGAGATTCAACACTTTCAGATTTGTATTTGGAAAATACAAATCAAAATTATATTGAGTAGAAAAGAGACAGAAAATCCTAAGTTCCTGGCTACTAAGGGTAAAACTAATAAGACTTCATTTCAAAAAAGGGAAAGGGGGTGGAGGTATAGCTCAAGTGATATAACAAGCATGAGACCCTGGGTTCAATCCCCAGTTCTCATCCCAAGAAAAACCACACTGAGATTCCACATCACACCAGTCAGAAAAAGAACAAAAAAAACAAATGTTGGCAAGGGTTCAGAGAAGACGAAACACATATTCGGTGTTAAATGTAAATTGCTACAGTCATAGAAATCAGTACACAGGGTCCTAAAACCCTAAAATCCAAATTAGGTCCAACTATGTCACTGCTAGGTGCACACCTGAGGGAATTAAATCTAGCATTAAATAGATGCCTACATACCCATTTGTGGTACAGCACTGTCAAGAACCATATAAAGCAATCAACCTAGGTACCCATCCATAGATGATTGGATAAAGAAATGTGGGATGTATACACAATAGAGGATTATTTGGCCATAAAGAATAACCAAATTGTGCCACAAAAAAAAGATAAAATTAGAAACTATCATGTTAAGAAAAATAAGTGAAGGCTCAGGAAGACAAATCTACTAGGTTCCTCATATATGTGGAATCTAGATTTCTTTTTAAAGACATGAAAGTTGAAGAAATATTTGGGAAGGATACACGTGAGAGATGAGAAAGGGTAAGGGGCTGGTAAATATGACAAAGTACTTCATATATGTGCCTGACAATATCATGACAAAACCCCTTATTTTGAAAAATTGCACAAATTATGCCAAAACCATAAAACATTTGTAAAGCACTTTCACATCTTAAAACTTGACATTACCCTCCAATTACTTGTTTCCATTTGACAAATGAAGAAACTGACTGACATTCAGAAATTGGGAAATGTCTATTTCTAAACATTTTGTGTTAGGCACTGTGTTAAGTAAGAATCTATGAGAGAGACATTTTTACCCCATTTTACACAGTAAGAAACTAAAGTTAAAAGAAGTTCCCAAGGACACACACACACACACACAGAGAATAATGACCAACTGGGTCTCAACTTTCCTCTGTGCCATGCTCTAATTTAACACCTTATTCTACTAAACTGCTAGTTTGTCATCTTTTTCCATTCTGTTAAGATGTTTAAATTCATTCTAGTTTTCCTTGATCACTGTTTAGACACATTTCCATCATGTTGAGGTTAGATATTTTGATTCCACCCTAAGAGTGAAAATCAACAAATGTGCCCAATAGCTGTTCAGCAAAAACAACTTTTATTCCAATGCATGACCAATTCAAAGAACATATATAATTTCTTCAGTTTTAAAGTAACTTCTCTGGGTTGTTAATCTCAGAGGAAAGAGATCTGAAATTCTGCAGGAACTTTTTTGTTTGGAAGACTTGACAGATTCTAAAAAACTCATTCCCTCTTCTCATAATAAAGTCCATGCACGATTTTCTTTTATCTTCATCATTATTCCACTTGGAGTTTGACAATATACCTGAAACTGACCCTTCATCTAAAATTTGCGGAGCCCTCAATGACAACCAGCTAAATGTATAATACACTAACAAATCCTCTTGCTTCCTAGTGTCAGGCTTATGCTAGATATACACGTGGGAACGTGAGCCTCACTAGAAAATGTCTACTTAAAGATCCGATCACTCTGGATATGCTGTAGACAAAAAGGCGATCACCATTCCCCATGGAAATACTTCAAAGGGGTAAGCTTTCAGCTGGGTTTCTGAATATACAACCAACTCATTAAGGCCGGTTCAGTACCTCATTAGCACTCTCAGAAAGGATTTCTTGGGTATCTCATGAAATAAAGGATTGTGATAACAATCCCCAGGAGTATAAAACTTTCCTTCTCTCCCCCTTCCCCCCTTTGTTTACTGGAGGGAGACACAGCATTCCATTTGTAAGGTAGGACAAACTGCTCTTTCATTTTCCAAGTCATCAGGCTGGTGTATGATTTCCTATTTTGTACTCCTCCGAGGGAATCCTTCAAGACCAGGGGATGTGTTTTTAAAAGAGTCAAACCGGCAGACGCTGGAACCTTCTATTCTGCTTATTGTATGCTAATCAGATGCTAGACTGTTCTTTTCCCAGGAGGCTGCCTCCCCCCGCCCCCCCGCATGACCTACCAGGGCTTCCTTCCCTACAGTCAGGACTGAGGTGTAGGCCTCTAGGTAGGCCCGACTGCAGCGTCTCACAACTTCCAGACCCTTGACGGTGATGTCTTTGGCATCTCCCAGGCCCAAGCCGACGAGGTAAAGCATTTCCAGCCCCAGGGGGAAAGGTTGGGAACTGTGGGACGGAGTGAACAAGAAAGACCACGTCAGCTACACCGAGGACCCCCCCCCCACACACACACCCCAACCTGGAGCCAAATGGCTCCAGAGCAGCGGCCGGGCCTGTGGGACCCTCGTGTCACGCTGCAGGAATGAAAAGTGTTTCTAAAACAGAAATAGCCGCACCAGCTTGGCCCAGTTACTCGAGGACACGACCGTAGCCAGCTCGCCAGACCCCCACAGAGTCCCGATTGCTGGGTTTCCACATTTAAAAAAAAGAATCAGCAGCTAAGGCCGCAAAGACGCTCACGCCGCCGCCTGGGCCTCCGGTGCCGTAAAGCGCGGAGTCTTGGCGGCACTTGCGGCGCCGTTACGGCACTTCACGACCCTCCGGAGGGGGGCGGGGCCAGCCGCTGACTGGCTTTACTAGTGGTGACCCGCTGACCTCTCGGGTCGGAAGGTAAAGGGTCAGTAGGCGTCGGGGTGTTGGTGGAGGGCTCCAGCGCCGGCCCTGGCCCGGGGGAACGAACCTGGCCTGCCCACGTTCCCTGCCACCGTTGGCTTACACGGGCTTCAGCATCCCCGCTCGGGTCTCGGGTAAGTGCGGTCACTCGGAGCCCGGGAAGGGCAGGTCGGGATCGGTCCGGGCACGGCGGACGGCAGCTTGGCCCGGTACCCCCCCCCCCCCGGCCCGTGCATCCTGCTGTCTCCTGGGCGAGGCGTCAAGCTGGCAGCCCCGGCGGCGCGTGGGCGCCCATTTCCCTGCAGGCCCTCCTCCCGCCCCCGTGACCCCTTCTGTTTGCCCCCGTGACCTTCGGCCGGCCGGATTGCCCCACAGGCCCTGGCCTAGCCATCCTCGATGCCCGGACGCCCGGATCTCCCTGTACCGAGAGGAGCGACCTTCCCCCCCGACCCGTGCCGGAGATCCCATCGCGGGCCCCTCCCAGGCACCCGCACCCGAGGAGTCTAAAGGGTGGTGGGTTAGCTGTGATTCCAGCATCACTGAAGATGATTTGCACCGGTGACTCCCTCCAAGTTCAAAAGGCCGTTTTCATAGTTTATCTTGATACACGCTGCTGAATATTCAGATTTTTCAGACATTATCTTTTTTACCCCAACTCCTTTTCATTTTTTATTCTCTCCCCTCTTTCGTGTGTGTGTGTGTGTGTGTGTGTGTGTGTGTGTGTGTGTGTGTGTGTTGCACGTACTCTCCAGTACTGGGGCTTTTTTGCTCAAGGCTGGTGCTCTACCACTTGAGCCACATTCTCCACTGATGGCTTTTTGCCGGTTCATTCGAAGAGTCTTAAAGACTTTTCTGCTCAGACTGGCTTCGAACCGTAGTCCTCAGATCTCATCCTCCTGAGCAAGTAGGATTACCGGCATGAACCACCAGCACCTGGCCCAGCACTCCTTTTGCTAAGCCTTGGCTTTTTCCTCCCCCTCTTCCCTTCAGTAGGTCTGTCTGTCCTTTGTACATCCCATTTGATACTTGCTTCATGAATAATTCTGCCTCTCTTGCATTGACTTATTCCTCTTATGTTACAAAACGAAAACTCAAAATGTATTAAAACACAGATATAATTGGCAAGACCTAAAACTATACCAGAAGAAAAGATTTTATTTAAGCGTACATTTCTTCAGTATGGCATCAAAAGCATGATGCATAACTATTTAAGATGGACTTAAAATAAAAATTTATGCTCTTCAAAAGGTACTACTAAGCCATATACCAAAAGAAAATATTTTCAATAAAAGACTTGCATAAAAGAAAATTCAAAGTGCAATAAGAGTTCAGCTTAAAATGAGCAAAAAATTTCAACCAACATCAAAGAAGATATACTTGAAACAGATAAGCAGTTTTAAAGATACTAAATATCTTTAGACATTAGAGAAATAGACATTTAAACCACAAGATCCTTCTACACACCTACTACAATGGCCAAAATGAAAAAAGAAACACAGAAATATCAGCTGTCCACTTACACAATTCCAGGTTCCTGGTATTTTGCTAGCTCAAATTTCAACCTCTCATTCAGGCCTCTTCTCGGCCTGTGGATTAATTTTTTTCCCCCAGGAAATCTCCACTTGGCTAAGCTAGAGGCATACTCTACCACTGATGCCATCAATTTCTCTTCCAGGTTGGCTCTTCTTTCTTAGTCACCTGTGGTAGTTCAGATGAGAGTACACAATTTCCATCCATAATTCACTCAGCCGTGTACTTGAGACTCACTGCTGCATGTAGTCATATGTGCTTATTTTCCTCAGTTGAAGCTATAGCTAATCTGTCTTGATTCCGGTCCTTATTTTGTCACTCCTTCAGCTGGTCTTTATGTCTCCCTGACATCTTTAAGGGAGCAGGGAGTTCTATTAAAGCTACAGTCTGAAAATATTACTCCCGTTCTAAAATCATCATTTGGGAGGCCAAGAAAAAGTCCAGGCTCTTAATACATCCCACCAGATTTTCTAGGGTATGGTCATTGTCTACTTCTCTAGCCTCATCTCCCTCCACACCCTGAATTTTTCCTTCACCAGTAGTTAATTGCTTGTAGTTCTGTGCTCATACAACATGTGGTTTTGTGCTTCCATGCTACTTCCTGTCTCCCATGCTCTCCTGCCTAGCTAACCACTACTCATCCCTTCAAATTAAGCCCAGAAAAATTTCCCGGAGTACTTCAATACCCTAAACTAAAATAAGTGCCTTCTGTCTTATAATAAAGTTCTGCCTATATATGACAGGTCTTTTTCTGGTTGTCAGTCTGTAATTTGTAATTAAACCATCAGTTTTACAATTTAGCCTCTTAAGGCTTAACTTGGTGCTTGTCGCATAGTAGGTATTGAATAAATGTTTGCCTGTGGATTATGTATCTACGTATAGCTAAGCATTTCTGAAAAATGCAGAGGTGGTATCTTAAATGACTTCTAAAATGTTGCAGATAAAATAACAAGCATGAACAAATGCTTTCCTCATATCACTTTAGGAGGTCTTTTGTGTTGAAAGACCTGTAACACATTATGAATAGTTCAGTGCACTGCTGAGTCCATAAGCAAACTTCCCATGTACTGGTTATGTGTTTGTGTGTGTATGTGTTCAGATTTTCTCTGAACAATTTCATGTAGATTCACAGTACAAGGATGTTGCCAAAAAAGGATAAATAAACGAGAATATGTTTTATTTCCTTTTAGAAAAATCTATATTGAAAGCGAAGTTATTCTCTGTTGGCAAGACATTTTAATTACTTCTCCAAACTAGCCAGAAGAGCTGTATTTTGGAATTTGTAACAAACCTACCTTTTTCCTGCCTTCATTCCTCAATAGGAATGAAAGTATTTGTGTACTTTTTCCCAGAGCTAGATAAATAAATTTTTTTTTCTCTTCAACTCAAATAATAGCAAAATTTTGCCTCATCTCTTTTTGCAGAACTATTCAGTGGGATTTGGCTATTTTTCTCTTGATATATAAAACAGGTTTCAAATTATTGCATTTCACCTAACAATTTATTAGGCAAACTTTTAAACAGGAAAATTGAAGCAATTTTATAATAAATGACAGTATAGCCACCTCAGGTTATATAGCTATTAACTGGTTTTATATTTGGGTTATCAGATGTTTATCCATCTGCCCAGATAGATACCAACCTGTCTTTTTTTTAAATGCATTTTGTTTGAAAAATAAGCTCCCTTCTAGTAACAGATTAACCAAATAACTTAAATATATGTTAAATGATACCATTTCTTTACCTAATTTAAGCTGAGCTTTGATCATTTTACTTTAATAGCTTCATTATTTTTAACACACTGTAAAATTATGTTAATTATAATAAAAGGAGACTACAGATTATTCATAATACTATAGCATTTTTCACATCTCATGTATGACAGAAGAGAGGAATGACTATAGAAAATAGTGACTCCAGATCAAAAAGAAGAAAAAAATGCTACAAAAAAGTTCCTTTTTAACTTAAAGGATAATAGGATGAATAGTGCCTGAAAAGGGCTTTTTTCCCCCCTCTTTTTTGGAACCCTCACTATGGGAAATTTTTATATCTGAGATCTTCAGGCAGTGATCATAAAATATGAGTGAGATGTTCATTGTCATAAATACGTTATATGTTACTTGCATTTTTAAAGTAATAACAGGGTTGAGATACTACATTATGTTATGGGCACATTTTAATTACCTTACATCTAAAAGAAGTCATCCTTCAATTTTCCTATGTAAGCTTGTTGTTTGTCTTGAAAAGAAAGCATTGGGGGAATGACTAAACTCCATCTGACCTTATTATGAATAGCGAATATTATTTTACTCTGAAGCTGGCCTTTTAACCTACACGTTCCCAGAGATTGCCTTTGTTAGAGGAAATTTTGATTAATATTCATTGAGTCTAGAAAGCTTGAAGTGATTGATAGTCATTATTTTCTAACAATTCACAAATAAGTGGCAATTAAAGATAGCGCTACTTTAAAGGAACTATATTTACCTATGTTAAAAGATTTTAAATTACTTATGGTTGCATTGATTTACTTAGGAAAAAAGTCACTCTGTTTTCATTTACTTTGTATGATGAAGTAAAATGGATAAATAATGTTTAAACAACCATACATACCACAAATCCAAATCTGTTTCTCTGAAAATCATGGAATATTTCTCATTAATCCTTACTTAAAAGAAGTCACCTAAAACCTATGTATTTGTGTAAAGTGGCTCCCTAGAATGCTGCCTTATGCACGTATGTCTCAAGTGTTTTTTGTTGTTTATTTGTAAGGCATTTTTTATACTTTACAGCTCTTCAAAGTTTGTGTCTAGAAAAAAAAAATCAGGGATACTTAGATTCATTTCAAGAGATTGAAACTAGGCCTCACAATTGTAATCCTAGCTACTCAAGAGACCAAGTTGGGGGAATTGTGGTTCGAAGCTAACCTGGACAGAAAAGTCCATGAGACTCTTACCTCCAATTAACTAACAAAGGCCCAGAAGTAGAGTGGTGGCTCAAGTGGTAGAGTGCCACCCTTGAGCAAAAATGCTAAGGGATAGATTGCTCAAGCCCCAAATTCAAGCCCCCTTACCAGCCAATAACACACACACACACACACACACACACACACACACACACACACAACACACAACACACATACACACACACGATTGAGCCTTAGGACTGATTTCCTTGAGTTCTTACCCTTAGCCTACTTCCCCATGACTGAGCTTTTTGCAAAGCTAGGTCCCATCAGAGGTGGGGACTCACATAAGTGTCATTGAGCCCTTTTGAATAGATTGGAGGCACAATCTCAAGAGTTGCCATTCAATGAGGGGAAGGGAAGA